TATGTTAATCACCATACATTACATCATTAGTTTTTGATGTAGTGTTCCATGATTCATTGTTTGCGTATAACACCCAGTGTTCCATGCAGAATGTGCCCTCTTTAATACCCATCACCAGGCTAGATTTTATACTATTATATATTATTTATTAATATTTAAAGTTGATTAATTATTGAGGTAAAAATGTTTCCTTATGAGAATAACACTTTTATTAAATATTATAATATATAATATACAAACAGAACTAACTCATCTAATATTTTTCGGCAGAGGACAATTGTAATTCCATAGGACAACTATTATAATTTTTAAGGGAGCATATTAAAAAAACAGCAAAAAGCTAAGTCATTTAAAATACTCTTTAAGAATTCAGACATCCTGTAATATTCATTACACCATTACTTTATAACATACTGTTCTGTAACACTGCCATATTTTTATACCTTCATGTCCATAATTTAAAGTTTTTTTTAGTTCTTCATTTTAAATGCAAAAAAATGTCTTTAGTATTTTCCTCGGTTTAAAGCCTAAGAGCACTGGCTTTGGGAAAAGGGAATAGGGAACTCCTCTCCTCCCTTTCCCTCCTCCCAATTGTATCCTCATCTTGGAGCCTAAGTCACTAGCCTATATTCTTCAAAAGCATACCCTGAAATGTCTGTATAATTACTTTTAGATTTTGCCAGAAATACTCCCTCCTGATATGTGAGTATTACAATGTCTTCAAGGCTGAATGTGTAATGACTACAGAGCCACAGCTTTGACTGGCCTAGAAGGGCAAATAAACATTTCTTACCCACTGAGAGATAAAAAGCTGGCATAGCAGGATTATGATATAGAAGTTGTGACAAGGTCAGGGAAAGGAAGTGTGGCTTGATGGGCCACAATCTTGGTCCTGCAGGACCCTTTCACAGAGTGAGAGCCCCTGTCCTGCCACCCAGTTCTAGCTCACTGGGAGGAAACAAGGCCTACTGAGGAAGGAGGTTTCTGTGGAAAGCAGGCGGTTCTCACCAGCATCTCAAAGACATGTAAAAAGTAACAAGGACTACCTTACCTACGTTAGTCATCCAGACAACTAATTGTTCAGCTAGACTAGAAACTGATGTAGAATGCTTGAAACTAAACCTGTAAGGGAATGAAACATGAAGTTATTCAACAGTAAAACACAATAGTGCTTTCTATTTTTAATATATAAGCACAATCTGAATAAAAGTCACCTGTTTTCTTCTTGTTCTGCTTGTGACTTTTGGGGGGCTAAAAGGCAACAAAATGAAATTTTATTTTGATAGTTATCCTCATAAAGAAAACATGTAACATGTAGAAGACATTTGGAAATAAAAATTCACTAACAAATAACTCCTAAAAAATAACAAAATAGGCAGTCCTTTGGCAGACTGGAAAGTGTAATAATTTTCCTGAGGCCAAAATAGTCCTTTTTATGTACACTGAAAAAACAAAAAATTTGTTAAATTTGAAGTACTCCTGGTCCCTGAAAATCAGCTGTGGACTGCAGGCTAGACCAGTACAAGAGGTCACCTCTAAAATGAGGCAAAACATGCCCTCTAAAGCAAACACTTAGGAAATTTTTCATTTTTTAATTTCAACTCTGATATCAACATTTATAAAAATTTGTTTTGGAAAAAAATAATTCATTTTGGGAAGCCTAACATTACACTGACTTACCTATAATTATTCTGGATAAATACTGTGAGGAGTCCTCAGAAACAGAGCTCTCATTACCAAGTATATAGAGTGCAATACTCTGCATAAGGAGAAAATTAACATTATTTTTTAAACAAACAAGGTATAATTACAGGAATTATAGGAAAATTCATCCATTTTAGGTGTACAGCTCTGAGTACTGACAAACATTATACAGTAATATAACCACTACTACAGTCATGATATAGAACACTTCCATCACCCCAAAAAGCTCCCTCATACCCGCTATAGTCAATCCACTCCTGCTACACCCAGCACCGGAAACAACTCACCTATTTTCTTTCCCTATAGTTTTGCCTATTCTATAATGTCGCATAAATGGAATCTTAGAATATGTAATCTTCTGTGTCCTACTTCTTTAACTTAGCATGCCTCTGAGATTCATTCACATTACTGCATGCATCAGTGGTTTGTTTCTTTTTATTGTTGAGTAGTATTCCATTATGCAGATTTACCAAACTTTCTCTATTCATAAACTAATGGACACCTGGATTGTTTCTGTTAGGTGAACCCTAACCCACACCCTTCTCCACTTTGGCCTTCAAAGTTCTCATTTGAGTATTTGCTACTTGCTACTACCACCAAGAGCTGCACCTGCAAGTAGCTTTTTTTTTTTCTGAAAGTAGCACAATTCTATTAAAATGTTACTACAATGCTGGAGAATCTTAAAAATCCTATATTCTAAGGGCCACTGGGTGGCTCAGTCGTTAAGCGTCTGCCTTCGGCTCAGGTCATGGTCCCAGGGTCCTAGGATCGAGCCCCGCATTGGGCTCCCTGCTCCG